CTGCAGTCATTGTTTGTCTGCCAGTGGTTTCACCATCTTATGTCTCCACCCAGCTGCCCTCCCTCCCCTATAGCCACATATATATATGTATATATATATATATATATATATATACATACACACACATATTGTCCATACTAATCACAGTTGGTAGAGTACTGGCCTAACATGTAAGAATACTTAAATTCCATTCCAGTACAACATAGAGAAAATGTGTTGGTGTATGCCTGTAATCTCAGCCCTCAGAAAGTGGAGGAAGGAAGATCAGAAGTTTAAAGCTATCCTCTGCTACATCTTAGGTTTGAGGTCAGCCTGGGTGAGATCTGTCTCAAAAAAAAAAAAAAAAAAAAAAAAACCGAAACAAGACAAAACATCAAACACCAAACAAAACAAGCACAAACTCTAGAGTTCTGCTGTAAGCTGTATCTAAAACTGAGAGGAACCCGGCAGGTGTCGGTGCAGGCAGTGATCCATCAAGAAATAAGCATGGCAGCCTGGATCAGACATCGGGGAGTCTAATACCAGAGGGTTCGATGTCAGCATATTTAAAACAAAGTACAATTTGGGAAAAGGTTTCCAGGCAACAATCAGTTGTACAGTTCCAGGTGTAGAATAAATTACAATGTGGGTACATAGAAGTTCCTTTACAAAGCACATGTCTCCACGAGGGTGGGTTCTACAGTTAAAAGGTCTAGAATCTAGTGTGGTCTCCGACAGATAGCACAGAGGTTAGCAGACCATAGAGTACTTGTGACACGTCCCCTAAGGACAGGTGAGGGTCTAGGGAAGGAAGATTGACATGATCATTCTGGGCAATTTGGGTGAGGTTTGCCTCGATAGCAAAGGAAGGTGAGGTCTGCCTCCACAGAGAGCAAAAAGGTCGCCAGGTCCTTAACAAAATCCACTCTCAGCTTTCTGGGTAGAATGCAAGTTTTTGATTTTTATCTCCTCTATTAGGGAGACGTCCCTACATGACTAACATTCCTGGCTCCCTTAGTCTGAGTACACGGACCTCGGTGTCCCCATCATATAACATGAAAGTAGAAGCAAAAAGAAAAGGGGAGAGACGACAGGGAGAAATGAGTGGTTAATACAAGCAAAATACATGATATTATAGACAAATAAAACTTCCACAAAGAACCCCATCGTCTTGAATACATGCTAATGAAAACACAAACGACTTCCATGCATAGAAGATGTCTTTCTTTTCTAGGTCAGTAGCTCTACCTCACCTTACCATCCAGAAGGAATCTGTAACACAACATCGTTGATATTACACATTACACATGTAGCTAACGCGTATGTACAGCTCACCATAGTGATAGTCACTGCGCCAAGTGACTATCTACCACATCCACCAATTTCATCTCTAAACAGTGTTCTGAGATGGGTACTGTAATTTTAAAAACGCCACACGAGAGAAAGACACCATGAGACAAAGCTCAAGTGGAGGGGTTTTTCATTAAGAGAAAGGGAACGTAAAAAGGGGGAAGAGAGGGGGAAGACCTGCCTCTGGGGGCAGGAGCAGCAGAAGAGAAGAGGGGGCAGAGAGAGAGGAGGGGGAGTGGGCAAGGCCCACCTTTCCAAGGGAATGTAGCAAGTGTGTGCACAGGAGGTGCTCTTAGTGGAGGTGCCTGACCCCAAGGGCAGGCCAGAACAGATGCCCGAATACTAACAGGTAAGACTTACTATTATCCCCCTTTAAAAATCAGCGTTATACAAATATAATATGTACTCACTCATAAGTGGCTTTCAGACATAAAGCAAAGAAAAAACAGCCTACAATTTACAATACCAGGGAATCTAGACAACAAAGAGTCCCCTAAGAGAGACATACATGAATCTAATCTACATGGGAAGTAGAAAAAGACAAGATCTCCTGAGGAAATTATGAGCATGCGGATCATGGGAGAGGGTTTAAGGGGAGGGTGGAGGAAGGGAGGAGAGCAGAGAGAAATATATATCTCAATTAAAAACAATTAAAAATCAGTGTTTTGATGAATCAAATGACTTGTCTAGGGCCTGACAGCTGGACCATGGCAGAGCTGACACATGTCCCCTTGTGGCCTGAATTATGTATGAATTATTGCTATAATGCCTAAGCAATAAACACATGGTGTTTCAATTATGACCTTTGCCATGTTTTAAACTATACCTGAACTGAAAATTAGGGAAGTTACTGCTTATTGGTACCCTCCACAACTCTGCACAGTGTCTTGTACGTAAAGGCGCTGTATTAAATGTTTTCACATTTCTTGCCAGGAGATGTGGCATTGACATGATCAGAGATAAAGCTCAATTAATCAAGAAGGGTAGTGTCTGGTACTCAGGGTTCTATAGAGAAACAGAACAAAATGATATCTACCTATGAATGGGGATTTACTAAGTAAATTGAATTAGAGCTACAGGATCTACACAGCCCTAGCTTTTCTTTTGTCTTCTCTTGATGTTCATGTGAGGTCTTCTATAACACGCAAGAACGAAAGGTGCCTCTCCTCTGTGGTCAAAGCCATCCGACTCTTCTGAAGCAATATGACAGAAGTTGGAGAAGCAAATGACAGCAGCTGGACCGGAATATAGTGTTGTGGGTGGAGGGCTTGCCTGGCATGCAGAAAGCCTCGGATTCCACCCCAGCACCACACAAAGCAGGTGTGTTAAAACACACCTGTAGTCTCAGCTCTCCAAAGCGTGGAGGCAGAAGAATCAGAAGTTCAAGGTGCACTGTAAGTTTGAGGCCAGCCTGGGTGAGTCATATCTCCAAAAACAAAAACAGAATAAAAAACAAACAAATCCCAGAGACCTGTAGTAGGATTTTATTGTCTCCTTTCCGCCAGTTGTGGTGACAATCAGTACCGTGTGTCAGTCAGGTCGTTCTTGCCTTCTGTCTAAAGGTGCAGTTCCTCGATTCTTGAGCTGTGTTTGAGATAAAAACCAGCAGTGACACAGTCAAGCTCTGTAAATATAGTGTGACACCCGAACCACCAAGAGCAATAGCGTGAGATACAGCCTCACCCAGGACATAAACTGTGGGCCCATGGTGGCATCTAAACAAGGTTCTGTTGTCTTCTTGTGGAGTCCAGCACTCATACTCTTTATCTTCCGTGATGGAAAAGCAAGCACAATGTCTGACTTCTCAGCAAAGGAATGTTTAGTGCAGGACTTAGAAGCTCTGCTGTGTACCCACACACTGGGGCTGATCTGAAAAGTGCTTTGCTTGAGAACAGTGGAAACCATCAATGTATTTATCCACTGTGAAATTCTGTATACCTAATGTGATTCTTCTTACATATCTATTCCTGGGTATGAGATTGCCGGTTTAAAGTCAGGGGCCTGGAGCAACAGTGATCAAGAACCCTCTCTGCTCTTAATAGAATCAGAGTTCAGTTCTCAGTGCTCATATTTGGGGGGCTCTTAACTGCCTCTCAGTCCGGCCCCCTTGGATAGGCCCTAGTTTTCTGTCTGCTGCTGTAATAAAACACCGACCAAAACCTACTTGGGGAGGAAAGAGTTGACTTCAGCTTTCAGTCCATCATGGAGGAAGCGAAGGCAGGCGTCAAGCAGGAACTGAAGCAGAGACTGTGGAGGGGCACTGCTTACTACCTTGTTCTGGTTCTCAGTTTAGCTGCCTATTTTATACAGACAAGGACCACCTGCCCAGGGGTGGCGGCACCCACAGTAGTTTGGGCCCTCCCATGTAAACCATTAGGCGATTCTTCATAGACATGGCCACGTGTGATCTGAGCAATACTTCTATTGAGACTCCCTCAAATTATTCAGGGCTGTGTCAGAATGACATCTGTAGCTAGCCAGACCATGTCACTCCTTGTCAGCTTGACATACAAATACATGAGTGTTAAACACATGAGTGTAAAACCCTTGCTTTTCCCAAGATCTCATTACTATTAGTATCACAGTATAAAACACAGTCCAACTTTTAAAAAGTCCCACAGTCATTAACACTTTCAACACTTTAGAAGTTTAAATCTTCTTTAAAAAATCCGAAGCCTCTTAACTACAGGCTTCTATAAAATACAAAGATTTTTATATATTATCCTATTCCAAAAATGAATAGGCAATAAGATCATCAAAGCAAAACCAAAATCTAACTTTGTAAAAAGTTCAGTATCCACCATCTAGAACTCACTCATGGTGTTCTGGGCTCCACAGGCTCAGGCTGTCCCACTTCTCCAGCTCTGACACCCATGGCACACCACACTAGGCTCACGGGCTCAGCTAGGCTCCACGCCACATCTGCTGCTGTCCTTGGTGATCAGGCCGGAGTTGTGCCATCTCCCGTAGGCTAAGGCCTCCTCAGGGACTCCCACCTTGATCGTACTGTCAAGCCTCACCTCAACTTCTCTCCATGGCCTTTTAAATCCTTCTACTTTCATGTTGCCAAAACCAGCATCATGTGGGAGACTCTTACACACTAACAAACTTAGCTGTTGGCTTAAGATGCAGCCTCAACCCACCCCTGAACTACAGTTTCTGCGTGCTAACCCCAAGGGAATACTTCCCAGAAGATTTTGTGTCGACGATGCTGGTCTCTTAATAATCATAGCTGGTTTTCCGGCGCCAGAGATCATTGTCCTAGTAAAGCGAACAAGATTTCACGTCCATAAATTCCTAATTTAAATATGTCACACAAGTGGCCCTGATAGTATCTCTGTTTCCCTTTGAGACTTCGCAAGCCAGGCCTCCATCATCGGCAATTCTCCCCGCAGTCTTATCTTCCCGACTCCCACAGAACAATCCGTTAAACTCTATGCACTCAATGACTTTTCCAGCTCAAGATTCCAAATGATTCCACAGCCCTCCCAAATAATAACACGGTCAGGCATGTCACAGCAAGATCCTGTTCTTTGGGGCTGGAGAGATGGCTCAGTGGTTAAGAGCAATGCCTGCTCTTCCAAAGGTCCTGAGTTCAATTCCCGGCAACCAGATGGTGGCTCACAACCATCTGTAATGAGGTCTGGTGTCCTCTTCTGGCCTGCTGACATACAGACAGAATATTGTATACATAATAAAAATAAATAAATATTTTTTTTTAAAAAGACCCCGTTCTTTGTGCCAATTTCTGATCTAGTTTGCTTTCTGTCACTGTAATAAAACACCGACTAAAAATGACCTAGAGAACGAAGGTTTATTTCATCTTACAGGCTGCAGTCCATTATTGAGTGAAGTTGGGACAGGAGTTCAAACAGGAACTGAAATTAAGACTATCACGAATGCTGCTTACTGGCTTGATTTCCAGTTTTCTGCTCAACTAGCTATAGATATGGATAGGGATATGGATAGAGGTAGAGGAGAGACTTTAGAACCACCTTCCTAGGAATAGCACTGGTGTGGGAGGTCCTTCTGTATATGTGTTGCTTTGCTTGGTTAATGAATAAAGAAGCTGCTTTCAACCAATGGCTTAACAGAATATAGCCAGGCTGGAAAAGATAGAGAGAGAGAGTAGGTGGAGTCAAGGAGAAGCCATGGAGCTTCCAGAGGGGAAAGACACGAGCTGCCAACTGGAACCTTGCCGGTAGACCATGAGCCTGTGGTAAAATATAAAATAATAGAAATGAGTTAACCAAAGATATAAGAGCTAGGTAGTAATACGCTTAAGTGATTGGTCAAGCAGTGATTATAATAATATGGTTTCTGTGTGATTATTTCGGTTCTGGGCAGCCAGGAATGAACAAGCAGCCTCCTATACAACACAGCACCGCTTGCAGTGGGTTGGGCCCTCCAACATCAACCATTTATCCTGCCACAAGCCAGTCTGACCTGGGCCATCCCCCAGTTGAGACTCCTTCACATGATCTGGGCTGTGTCTAGTTGACAGCAGTAATTAATAGGACAGGCTCTGATGATGGACTACATCCGCACGTACCTGTAGTCATGCATATACACAGAATTAAAATAATAATAATAATAATTTAAAATATTTTTAAAAGATTACCTTCAGGCCTATTTATATGCCTTAATGGATTGCTTACTACTCTATACCTCCAAATCCTTGGGCTATTATGGGTTCCTGTTGTAAGGCATACTCAACTCATTCATTCATTCAACGTGTAGTTTTGAGAGCTTACAGTGTGGAGGCAGGAAGTCCTGGGAGTGAATTACAGAATGGATGGTGAGGAAAGCAGAAGGCTCTTGTCATCAAGAAATTCATAGTTGAGGCAGGAAACAAGACAAGCAAGTGTAAAACAGTTTTATGATACTGCAACAGAAAAGGACAGGATACCAGTCAGACGGGGGATTTCATTGCAGACTTTTGAGTGTTGGCTTTGTCCCTCCTTCTGCCTGATACCCTGTGAGCAGACGATATCTGCCTTGGCCTCCCACATGCACATTCCCTCCATTTCTCAACACAGAGAAACCATGGAGCTCCAGCTGAATTTGCCTTCCTGGCAGGAGCAGGGGACGTGTCTCTAGGTGGTGAGTTAGGGCAGTGAAGAGAAACAATTTCCACATTCTCCCTGGCTCTAGATAACTGCTCTGTGCTACCTGAGGGTCAACATCCTACAAATGACTATTTCATATGTTGGCTTATATTTACAGTGGTTTAAGGTATACTTAAAAGGTCAGGACTCTTTTGACCAGAAATGGAATTCCACTTTTTGCTTCTTTTTTTAATTTTTATTATTTTAAGTGTGCAGGTGTTTTGCTTGCGTGTATATCTGTGCACCATGTGCATAAAGTACCTACAAAGGCCAGAAAAGGATGTTGGATTCCCCTGGAACTAGAGCTATGATCAATTATGACCGGCCATGGAGGTTCTGGGATTCAAGCCCAGTCCACTGGAAGAGTAACCAGTATTCTTTACTGCGCAGCCATCTTTCCACCCCTAGATGTTTAAGTTATGATAAAGGCTTTCAAATTGCTTTGTATATAGACTCTACTGATTTCCTCCCCAACTCCTATGAGAACCCACAACTTCACGTATCACTCACAAGCCAAACTGCCATCTTCTTTTTTAACTTTGCTAGTTTGATAGTTTTAAGAATCACACAATAGTTTTAGTGTGTATATGCATGTGTGTGCACATGCACACATATGTGTATGTACGCATGCACCTCCCAAGTGTAAAGATTACAGGTACTATCATAATTTTCTTATTTTTAAAAGAGCTGTAATGACGAAACATCACTGAATTCAATGTTCTCATCAAAAAAATGCATTTTGCCTTTAATCCCAGCACTCGGGAGGCAGAGGCAGGCGGATCTCTGTGAGTTCGAGACCAGCCTGGTCTACAGAGCTAGTGCCAGGACAGGCTCAAAAGCCACAGAGAAACCCTGTCTCGAAAAACCAAAAAAAAAAAATACATTTTGAACATGCTTTTAAATGGCTTTGTTTCTACAATAGCTATGGAAATATTTTTGTTGCTCAGACTTGTTATCCACCAGCCCTGCTCTTGTAGTCTGACCTAGATAAATGTCAGCTATTGGCTGCCTTGATGAAAACAGCTTTAGGAAGTTGCCTGGGTGAAGTCCGGAGCTCAGCTGGGTTGACTGGGTCATCCGTGTCAGCTGTTTTCATACTTTCACTTAAAAAGAAACCTACTAACATTTTAAGTTTCAAATTTTCTATTTTATACAAGGGGAGGGTGAAGGATGTGTGTCACAGAGTTCATGACACTTTCTAGAAAACTCACTTTCTCCTCCCCTTTGTCTCAGCTGCTGGCTCCTCCTTGTATGCAGCTTCCACCCTTGGTCTTCAGCCCCCTTTGCTCCTGAAGACTGTCTTCTGTGCGAGAGAGATCAATGAGAGACTGAGGCAAAAGAAAAGAACATTCACCCATCGTCCTAGAGAGACTGTGAGGGTTGATGCAAGAGAATACAGTTTCCTGCTGCGTGGGTTTTCTTTCTGGACTGTCTTTACTGTCCTGCTTATCTACACAACACAAACACTCCTGGGCTTGACAGACAGTTCAGCACTTAAGAAGACTGGCTGCTCTGCTGGAGGACTAGAGTTTGGTTTTCAGCACCCATATCAGGCAGCTCACAACTGCCTGTAATCCCAGTTCCAGGAGGATCCTATGCCTCTGAACTCTGAGGTACCTGAACACACACACACAGACACACAGACACACAGACACACAGACACACACACACACACACACACACACACAGGTTGGGGAGGTAGAGAGAGAAACAGATACACACACATACGGATAGGGGGAGAGGAGAGAGAAACACACACACACACACATATGCATGGAGAGAGAAATAGGTACATAAAGACACACGCATAATTTTTAACATTTTAGGAAAATATTTATTTTATTTTATGTGTGTTTGTGCACTATGTGCATGCAGGAACTGGCAGAGGTCAGAGGCAGTGTCAGGCCCCCCAAAACTGAAGTTACAGAAAACCGAGTCACCATATGGGTGCTGGGGGCAGAACCTTGGTCCTCTGTAAGAGCATCAAGCACCTTTACACACTGAGCCATTTCTCTTCAGCTCCTAATTTTTTTAATTGATTAATTTTTAAAAATGATTGTTCTCTGCCTTAATCAGCCCACCTGCCATTCTAAGATGATGACTGATTTCAAAAGTTCTTAAATTACTTACCTGGATTTCATAACTCAAGTTATTATGAAATGAGAATTTTCTTATTGCAAAGTGAGGATCATTGTTTCTCACATCTCCTCTATAAAACAGTGTTTCATGTGCAAAGAAGCTTTGTGTAACCTCCTGCACATCAAGTGATTGCTAGATTTCCTCTCATGCCCAATGCAACGTAAATGCTATCTAAACAGTTACTACACTGCGGAGTCCATGGATTAAGTAGAAGAGCGTCTGGACCAGTTCAGTCAGGCTTCCAGGTATTGGGATTATAGGTGAGCACCATCAAATTTGGATTCTAATGCAATAACCGCTTTTTAAAAACCCTTTATTTGGTTTTGTGTGTACATATACCACAACACACATGTAGAGGTCAGTGAACAACTTGAAGAAGTGGACTCTCTCCTGCCATGCGGATTCCTGCTAACAGAGACTGCACTTTCGTTGCCAGCTGCACAGACGCAAATAATCACACAGAAGCTATATTACAGGAATTGTATTCACCTTAAAGATTGCATTATCTACATTGTTTTGGGTTTTTTTCTTCATTTTTACCACTTTATCTGGTCTGTCAAATCTAAGAAAAGATCTCTCTGTCTACACAGATGATGGAGATGTAATTTCTTCAGAGACTTGGTTTTAAAATGCTGTTGTCTAGACTTGCACAGCTGAAGGGAAATCTTGAGAAACTTAACCCACAGTTGTTGGTTGGGAAATAACAGTGATATTGACAGAGTCTTTGCTTTAGCTAGAGGGCCCTTTCCTCTCCTCCATCACTGACTCTACATTTATTGAGCAACTACTTTAAACTAAGGAGGGAGGGTATGTGTAGTAGGTAATACTCAGATCAAGTTGTCAAAATGATGGGAGTGACAGACAAGTGAGCCAATGACTGCCGTTTGCTATATTGAATGGGAAGTACTTCCTCGGGGATGGGACTGGGGTCTAGGGCAGGAGGTAATTAATGGTTTTCAGTTTTATGGTATTGGATATGTTAGACAGCTAAACAGCATCCAAGTTGTAAGAGACTGATTCTCCCTTACATCTTACCTTGATCCCAACAATTTATCTGTCTTTTTGTTTCTTAGTTTTTGCAGAAGTAAGAATGAAACCCACATGTCTCATGGACTGGAGCTCAGTGTGGTATCACTGTTCTCTACTCCCAACTCCCCAATCATTCATTGAAAAACCATTTATTTATTGAATAATTCACTTTTTCCCTACGGAATTGCAGTATTTATTAAATTATGGTGGTATATACTGATTATGTATGCAAAGATCAATTTGGGAGCCTCCTCTTTCATTCATTATTTTTCTATTCTTGTGTGTTTATAAATTTTCAATTACTGTGATTTTATAGTTTGATATTTGGAATGCCTAGCTGTCTTGCCTGATCTTTATCAAAATGTCCTTGCCAGTCTGCCCAATTCTTGCTCACAAATTTTGAAATCATTTTCATAAACACTCCCATTATATATATATATTATAAATATTATAAATATTAGCATGTTTATACCTTTCCGTTCTTTCATCCACAGGTAATTACTACATTTGTTTACATGGAGTGAAGTCTTGTTTTGTCTTGGAAAATTAGGAAGTAATAAAAAGTGATTAAAATATTTATTTGAGCTAGACAGTGGTGGCACACACCTTCAATCTCAGCACTCTGGAGGCAGAGGCAGGAGTATCTCTGAGAGTTTGGGGCCAGCCTGGTCTACAAAGCAAGTTCCAGGAAGCCAGAGATGCACAGAGAAACCCTGTCTCAAAAAACCAAATAAAGCAAAAAGGACGTTTATTGTATCTTGTATGAATTCCTGAAGTTTGCTTTTTCTTTCTTTACAACATATACTTTTTAAGAAGATAGTAACAATATGTTAGATACATTAGGTGTGGTCATCATGAATAAGATTACTTTTTCTTACTATATCCTTATAAAGAAAAGCTACTTTTGAAAAACATTTTAATGGGCCAGCAAGATAGCTCAACCAGTAGAAGTGCTGGCCATGCCCCAGGGCTTCGTAGTGGAAGGTGAGGACAAGTTCCCAAAAGTTGCCCTCTGGCCTCCATACACATGTACACCCTCACATGCAGAATAAATAGGTTAATGGAATAGAAAATCAAGACGGAATTTTAAAATAATTTTATTCAGTCACTTACTCATCAACTGTTTGTTTTCCATTGATTCTTTTCAAGTTGCTTAGCAGCAAACAGTGGAGAGTTTGTCATCCTAGAGAAAGTAACAAGGGAGCCTTTAGAAGAGTTTCTCTGATGCTGGACACTGTGGTTCAGTGCTTTCCAAATACTGAGTGTTGATTTGGGACAGCAGCTTCCATGGATAGGCGTCCTCACCATCTTTTTTTTTTCCTCGTTTTTTTGTAACATAGTTTCTGTGTAACAGTCCTAGCTGTTCTAAAACTTGCTTTGTAGACCAGGCTGGCCTCAAACTCACAGAGATCCTCCTGTCTCTGCCTCCTGAGTGCTGGGATTAAAGGCGTGCGCCACCACCGCCCGACTTGTTCTCACCATCTTTACAGATGAGGAAAATGAGGCTTAGGAAGTAATTAGCGGAGCCCGGAGGTGAAGCCAGTACTCTGGCTCCCAGATTCAGGCATGACATCACTCAGTCAAGCTGATAGGCAGTGCCCTTCAGTGCACAGAAAGCTTCTTTCCCCATCACAGCCACACAGTATTCTCTTGCAAGAATGCAGCAATGAACATATTTGCAATAGTTTTCTATTAAAAGTGACGATTCAATAGTTAGCCTTCCACACAAATAATTTCATATGCAGGTATAAAAATTAGCATAAGCTCCTTTGGTGTAAAAGGGTAGGTGCATTTCATTTCATAACCAAATAGACATGCTTTAGCAAACTAGGAGTAGACAGGCAATACCTAAAGAATATGAAGAACATCTAAGGAAAAATTACCATTAGCATTGTGTTATTGACACGGTGGCCCACATCTGTCATCCCAACACTCAGGCATCTGCAGCAGGAAAATTTCCTTGAAAACTTTTCTGAGCTACAGAACAAGTTCAAGGGTAGCCTGAGCTACATAGGAAGACCTTAGAAAGAGAGGGAGAAGTGTCATATTTAATGTCATATTTAATGGGAATATAATAGGACTAAAAAGTGTGTTTTCATCACACTGCTCATTATTTCTGGAGATACTAATCACTGCAAAAATGTAAAAAAAAAGTGTAAGATCACAAAGGAAGCAATACTGTCCCCATTTAGGAGTAGTGGGATGGTTATACTAAGAACTGTTAAAATTAACACATGAATTCATCAAGGTCTGGAAATAGAAAGCTATCTGGAAAAAGGTCTAGTATTTTCTTGGCAAATCAACAATTAGAAGGGGCTGGAGGGCTGGTCCAGTGATCAAGTAGCTGCTGGGAAGACCCACTCATCAAAAACAGAACCAAGTTTGAAAATCAACCTCCGCATGTAGGGTTAACTAACTCTTGACGGTAGTAATACGGCAATCCTTTCAACAAGTGCTGAATCTAAGCATGGAAGAGATGAACAATGACTACTTAAAACTTAGATCAAAACTGGCCACTGCCCTAAATCCTAATGCAAAAAAAAAAAAAAAAAAAAAAAAAAAACCTTTGTAGAAAATGTAGGAGAAAAAGTTTTACCAAGGAAATTTTTCTTCAATATATAAAAGTCAACATAATAAAGAAAAAAATATCCTTCAAAAAATTAAAGATTTTGGAAGCGGGGATTGGGCCTCCAATAAGATAGATCGGCAGGTTAAGGTACAGGGTAACAGGGACTACTGGAGCAGGAATCCAACCAATCACTGAGCACCCTGACTCTGAACCCAGAGTCAGAGAAAGAAACACACCCTGTATTTGAGACCTGGGCTAGGGAAAAAAACAACTTTATTCCTGAACCCAGGGCTAAAGACATGTGCCCTGGCTCTGAAACTAGTGTCAAAGAAACACACTTTGTCCCTAGACTTAGAGCCAGTGAAAGAAATATGCCCTGGTCCTAAGATTAGAGTCAAAAAGCTAAAAAGGACCAGTGAAAGAAACATAGTTTGGTCATAAAGTCAGAGCCATCTCTGTCCCAGACCAGCTAAACTGACCAATCCCTGAGCAGGGGAAAATTAACCAATCCCCTTTCTCCCTGGGAAGACTCTGCCCCTAGGAAGCCCTAAGTAAGTCTTTCCACCTTTTCAGTTGAGAGCTGGCAGAGGCAGCCACTCTCCTGGATTCCTCCTTCCCAAATAAATCACTTTTTCAAAAGAGTCTTGGGTGACGACCTTCACTCCCCTGCGCAGAGCAGAAGAACCTGGCTGGGATGTCCCTTAGGGGACTGAACTGAAAAACTTTGCTGAGACCTCTCTAGGTGGTCTCAGCAAGGAGGAGCTGCACAGAAGAACCTTACTAGGACGTTTCTTAAGGGGGCTGAGCAAGGCCTGCGGAGGCAAAGTAACAACTTTTTTGGGGGAGCCAGAGATTGCTACATTTCTTCAGAGGGCTTCCCTTAGCAAAGTGTTAGCAGAAGAAACATCTTGGGTTGGAGAAGAAGCAGATAGCTCTGCAAGGAAGCTCCAGTAAGGGAATAGAGCAGAACTCAGCTGTAGCGACTTTCCAGGAGAAGAGCAGGATTCTTATATCCTGCTGGGAGACCATGCCCCACAGCACCCCAGCTTCAGGTAGCCTGGCTTCCCAATAGTCAGGACACCTTTCCCTCCAGGGCTGGGCTGTCCCATTGCAGCTCCAGCTCCCCAGAGCTGTCCTATTGCAGCTCCAGCCCCCAGAGCTGTCCTATTGTGGCTCTACCCCTCCAGAGCTGTCCTATCGTGGCTCTACCCCTCCAGAGCTGTCTTATTGTGGTTCTACCCCTCCAGAGCTGTCTTATTGCAGCTCTACACCTCCGGGGCTGTCCTGTTGTGGCTCTAAGTATCTAGTGGGGTCTGAGTGTAGATCTAGGCGGCCGCAGCTGTCCTATCGTGGCTCTACCCCTCCAGAGCTGTCTTATTGTGGTTCTACCCCTCCAGAGCTGTCTTATTGCAGCTCTACACCTCCGGGGCTGTCCTGTTGTGGCTCTAAGTATATCCTGGCTTCCTGATAAGTCAGGGTATCCCAATACCACTACTGTACCACATTTCCCTACATAATAAGGTACTTGCCGTTCAAGCCTGGAGACTTACATTCAATCACCAGAACTTATGTAAATGTGGAAATCAAGAAGCTACTCCACAAAGCTGTCCTCTTAACTTCACATGTGTGCTTGCACATGTGTATACATGTATGTAATACACTCACACAGCCACAAGTAGAAATTTCAAAAGGAGAAAACCTTTCTCTCTGAAAGACGTCATATAGGTGTGTAGGCAGTAGAGTGGTGCACAGCTGTAACTCAGAAGACTGTAACGGGTGATTCATGAGCTCCAGCAAGCTTAAATTACACAGTGAGTTCCAGGCCAGTCCAGAAGACAAAGTGAAACCTTTTCTCAAAGATGGAGGGGGAGGAAGAGGAAGAGGAAGAAGAAGAAGAGGAAGAGGAGGAGGAGGAGGAGGAGGAGGAGATAGAGGAGGAGAAGGAGAAAGAGAAACAGGAGGAGGCTGACAACAAGAAAAGACAGGGTGTGATATAGGCCTCAAACAAGAAGAAACAACTTGTAATATATTACAAAGTGTCTATATAGAAGCCCAACAAAAATGAACAAAAGATCTGAACTAAGACTTCACAAAGAGAGTGCATGTATATGTACACACACACGCGCGCACACACATATGTGTATGCATATAGCCCCCAAACACTTGTTAAAACACTCACTGCCACTGCGTTTCAGGGAATGTAAATCAGTCACTGGATGCATATCACAACTCACATTTAAAAGCTAATTCTAGCAGGTTGGCAAGGGTGTGGAACCACTGGGATTCTCATAAAACCTTTGGCAAAAACTTAAAAGATGACTTCTAACGTGGAAAACAGTTTGACAGTTTCTTGAACACCTAAGCAGTGTCTACCATGTGAAACTACCCAAAAGAAACCAACGTGTACAGCCACATACAGACTTGGATCTGAATAAACTCATTGCAGCTTTCTGTGGAACCCTTTCTTGTGCTTTACCTAGTTCAAGGCTACCCATAATCTACTCCTCTGTTGCTTGTACGAGCTGTATAGTTTTAGTCATTACAGTTAATTCTGCAGTCTGTGTGGGCTTAGTTTCAGTGTGACATTTGTGGAACCCATAAAAATTCAGTCTTTTTATTTGTTTTTGTTTTTCGAGAGAGGGTTTCTCTGTGTAGCCCTGGAACTCACTCTGTAGATCAGGGCGGCCTCAAATTCACAGAGATCTGCATGCCTCTGTCTGCCTCTGCCTCCCCAGGACTGGGGTTAAAGGCGTGTGCCACTAATGCCCGGCTCACAAATCCATTCTTTAGAATGTAGGTATGCAATTTTTCCAACCCACTTGACTGGTTCTAGTCCCCTCTCTTTTAATGGGACTCTTGTCAAAATATTATTGACCATAGATACAAAGATTCATTTCTGGACTCTTCCATTTATTCCATGAATCTATCTATCTTCATGCCTTGATCAATGGACGTTTGTAGTATCTTTTGAAATTGAGAGGTGCCCCTTAACTTCCTTCTCTCCCAAGACTACCTTGCATCCCATATAAATTTTAGGACCATCTTGTCAATTCCTACAAAATGCAAATGCTCTTTAAAGATTTTTAAAACAGTAAAGAAAAGAGTGCTTGAATTTAATGTAAAAAATACTATAAATAAAATTAAAGCTTTGGAATGCATATAAATAGCTTTTGAACTAAATCAAAGTGAAATCAGAAGAAATGTGGGGGCTGGCGAGCTGGTTCAACTTTAAGCACATGTGTTCTTGTCAGGAACCTACGGCTGACTTCATCACTCACATGTGGCTCATGACTCTCTGTAGCTCCAGGTCCAGGGAGTCAGTGCTCTTCTGACCTCCAAAAGCACCAGGCACACACATGGTGCACACACACGCATGCAGGCAGAACACTCACACACATAGGATAAAATTTATAAAAATATGAAGACTTTGTTTTTTAATAATATGCTACCAATTTAGACATACTTTCTGGAAACGAATAGAAGGGAGAACATTTCGTGCCTGTCACCACACTTTCGTGGGTTATAGTATCTAGATTTCTCCATAAGTCATAATCTCTGCCAGTGTGCTTGTTTTAGTTCTTTATTTAGATTTATGTAAATTGGCCAGTCTTCTCACCATGTTGTCTTCATACTTGAGACCTCTGTTTTCTTTCCTTCCTTGAGTCGCTGAGTTTCTTAGACAAGCAACCTTTCCTGAGAGCTCACCAGTGCTACGTCCCATGCATTCTCTGCCCTTGGTAAAGCTGCCTCACTTCGCCTTTGCCCTTGAAGAATGGTTTGCCTGGTGTTAGGAGATTTGGGTCAGACACATGTATTATTCTTCCAAAAACTTTTAGTTAGTCTACTATTCCTTCCAAGCATGTGCTTTTTCTGGTGTCCCTTTAACACTGATCACCACATCAACTTTTTATGGGCTCGAGTCATCATTGTATTGACACATCCAAGAAAGACACATGAATGCTGTAGTCCTTGAATATTTCCATGCCTAGAAATGCCTGCTTGCTGCATTTACAACAGCAGTTCAGGGTGACTAGGGGTTGACGCTCAAAGGTTATGCTTTCGTTCAGAGCTTGTAGGCATGACTCCGTTGTCATCTGGCATTAATATTTCCCCAGAGAAATCTGAGCCATGGAAATGTGAGGTCAACATTTTCCCCTTATCTTTCTTTCCATAAGAAACTTTAGCAAACAAACCCAATGATGTCTACTTTCCCCTCAGTCCTGGGGCCTTACACCAAGGTTTCCTGTGTGCTAGGGAAATGTTCTCTCTACACTACATCCCTAGCTCCAGGTGCCATATTGACTATATAGCCATCCTCTCTCTTTTTCCTTATCTATTATATGACCCCTTTCCATTGGCAGTCGATATTTTGTGCTCTCTAATATGTCTTTAAATTCTTTTAACTTTTAAAATAAGTATTATAAAAGGATACACAAATATACAGAAAGAACACACCATAGTTTTCTGTTCATAGCCGGGCATCATGATCAGCCAGCTTCTGAACATTGACTGTTTCATCTGAAGAGCCTTACGTCAACGATAGCCATTGAACCCTGGGACAATCTCTTTATGACATGCATACTTGCAACACATAATTAAAATCATTTTAGTTGCCTTTTTCTTTTCTTCTTCATTTCCTACAATGTCTTAATCCTTTCTCTTTGTCCATAATTCTATACTTAGGCCTATCTCACCAGCTTCTTAAGATTTGCAATTTATTAGTTCTACAGGGTTCTGTGTTGGAATCCCATTCCTTAGCATTAAACCCTCTTCCCTGTTATTCCTGTGCTCTTGCAGCTAGCTGTTGAGCTCTTGTTTTGGTGATTTTTGTATTCCGGGGGGAAAAAAAGCTTTATAATGACAAATAATTTGGAATAAATGTTTCATTTTTTTTCCTGTAGTTATATTGGTTCTTGGTGTTGAAGACTGTCCAGCAGAGAAAACTACTCAAACATGGGTTTAAGACAATAAAGAAAGTCTTTATTAGCTAGCCAGCAACCACACTGGGTATTTGGGATCTCCCGGGTAGCCCTCAATCTTCCTTGGGATGAACTTTTAAACACAAAGCATCCTAGGTTCATATAACTCAAGAGTTAGCTAGAAGCAGAACAATAGAAGCCAAATGCAAGGTTAGTGCATTTAGAGACTTTATCAGAACTACGAACTGTGCTGAGTTTTATGTCCTGAATGGTACTCACATCATGGCATCAGTTGTGCTAGGGTTAGGAGGGCCCTATATTGGGAGTATATTCATTGTCCTTCTTTAGGTACTAGCTTCATTTACTGTGTGACTTAATATTGCATATTTATCTCGTCACCAGGCCATTTCTTTTCTTACTGCATAAGGGGCTGTCTAGCTTCTAGAGCAGTGATTCTTGCCCTATGGTAAAATTTGCCCTCAGAAACACTGGGTAAACTGAAGACATTTTTGGTTATAACAAATACCACAATTAACTCAGAGCTAGCATTTTATTGCTTTGATACTGCTTTACCGTTGGCCTTGGATGGCACAAAATCAAGCCAGCCAGGAGGCACTAAGTTGGAAACTGTGCCCATAGCTGATGGCAACGCCGTTCTAAGCAAGGAGTCAGGGCTGCCTGAAGAGTTCCCTAGCAAAAGTTTGCAAAGGCCACCAGCCAGGAAGAAATGAGAGACGACAGCTTCGAAGCAGACCAGTCAAGATGGGATTTTTTTTTTGCCTCAAATCTAGGCAAGATGTAGAAGCAGTGTGCGAGGTGATTTACTTCATATCATGGAGTTAATCAGCTCCTTTAATGCGCATGATCCCTCTGTCTCTAATCCGTCTGCTTCCATGAGGATCCCTGTCTAACGCTGCCTAGTTTTCTCAGCTGTTTGTAGAGTACTGACATCGGATAAGAGGAAGACAAGGAAGGTGTGAAACTTTCCTTGCACAACCTTCTGTCCTGCTCCCAATTCTCTCTCTCTCTCTCTCTCTCTCTCTCTCTCTCTCTCTCTCTCTCTCTCTCTCTTTCTCTCCTTTCTTTCTTTCTTTCTTTTTGTTTGTTTGTTTGTTTGTTTGTTTTTTATTTTTGAGACAGGGTTTCTCTGTGTAGTCCCCCCTGACCTGGAACTTGCTCTGTAGACCAGGCTGGCCTCTAACTCACATAGATCCTTCTGCCTCTGCCTCCCGAGTGCTGGGATTAAAGGCCTGTACCACCCTCGCTCAGCTGTTTTTGTCCTTGAGCAGGAGACAACAGATTTACAGCTCAGATTAGTTTTCAAAACATAAGGGGGTCCACACACCTCTGTACCTCTGAGCCCTTCTACCTGCAAACGTACACCACATGCCTTACAGTGTGTTTTCAACCCGGGAGGAAGCTCTCTCCCCACACCCAAACCCACGCTCCTGTCCTGAGAATGGCACCATTCTCTTTGCTCGCAGGCTCAGTTATTCCATCTTCACAGGGCCCCAGAGAAGGCAGCTGAGGAGAGAGGAGCCTTAAACAGCCAAGATTTGTCATGAACCAAAACAACCTAGGACAGGAAGGAGCAACTGGGACACTGCGCTCCCTGTACCTGCTACTTTGGGAAGGCTCAGAGACTTGCTAGACTGAATAAACAGAGCTAGTGGCTAGACATAAAGACTCCGAGGTAAGTGCCTGCCTGTCCGTGTCCGCCTTGGGCTGCAGCACTTTGGGGAGCTAGAGACCAGCCTCAGGCAGGTGGAGACTTGAGTGGGCATGTGACCCAGTGAGCCAGAGAGGGACAGGAAATGCATGAACACCCTTCACCTGCCCAAGCTGTGCCCTAACACCAGAGTTCCCAGAAATCTCCGAGAATTTCAAGAAATTCTATGACTTTCTCAATGTGCTTACTTGTGCAGTTAAATAAACTAGTGTACATTGGAAGGTGAATAATCTCGTTGTTAACTGTTTGTTGAAGCCTAGTGAATGACTAACTCACTTGGAGGTAGGCTAAGATTTGGCTGAATTCCATAGTCAATTCCACAATATCCACCCTCTGTTTCTGAAAGTCAGGGACTGACATGGTGCCAACTTGTGTAAGGGGTTCAAATGGTGATCAGTAAGTTGAACAGCCAGCAAATTGGTTGGTTTGTTTTTGAAACAGGGTCTCTCTATGTAACTCTGGCTGTCCTGGAAACGACTGTGTAGACCAAGCTGGCCCCTGACTCACAGACACCTGCCTAGCTCTGTTTCTCTAATGCTGGAATAAGATGCGTGGACCACCATGCCAGATCTTAATAACCTAGAACTTGATCCTTTGGAAGCTTCACCTTAGCCCCACTCCTCCCTCTCCAAACCCTGCCCCCTCTCAGAGAGCTCACCAAGCAGCAGCTCCTCCCCCGGAGCTGTTCAAGACTACTTCTACAGGGGGTTTAGTCTCCTGTCCATTGACCTGCCTGTGATTTCTCCTCTTCCCCGAGACCACCTGGGGTGGGGGGGGCGCTCTGCTCAGATCCCATGAATAGATGTTTCTCAGTTCTGCCTAACTCCATGTAGTGACAGAAGTGGCCTGAACTGTAGGACACCTAGCTGGCGTCAGATTAGCTAAGTGTTGGAAGACCCTGTACATTTGGTACCAGGCATGTTATGAGCAAAAGCAACTCAGAGGTCCTAACAGAGTGGAAAGACACTGAGCTGGCTGTGATGCAGGACGATCAGCTTATTCAGCCAGAGGGGAGGAACCTTGACCTAGTGGCCCAAAGGGGCAGATTGTGGTGGAACTGAGAACAATGGGGGATATTGAGAAAGGGAGCCACAGTACTTGGAGAGACCTAGTCAGTAGCTCTGGATTACAGAGTTTAGAAGGCCACTTCTGTCACTACATGGAGTTAGGCAGAACTGAGAAACATCTATTCATGGGATCTGAATTTAACTATTCCACTTCAGATGCCCATCACAAACGCCAGGTCTTCAAGAGAACTGCTGACTGACAGGCTACAAACTGATGAGCTCCCTTAATACATTTTTCAGGTCTGCCAACTAGTCCCTGGAAGTACTCATAAAATGTATGAACATGATTTATTAACTAGCAGTGGTTTATGATTCAGGATCCGAGGAAGCCAAATGGACGAGGTGCATAGGGCAAGGCATGGGGGAAGGGGGCAGAGCTTGCATACCTTCTGGGCCTGCCACCTTCTCAGAACGGCAATATGTTCACTAGTCCAGACTCTGTTCAACTTCAGCAATTAGTGGGTTTTACGGAGCTTCCCTTCAGCAGGCAGAATGGGTTAAACCTCAGCCTCTAGTAATGAACTCACTTGTCTCTGATGTGTAGAGTTGGGGGTTGGAGTTGTACCCCAGCTGTCTAAGGATGCCCACCTAGATCATGGTCTTCCTGGAGACTACTAACTCCTGTCCTCTCCACTTGTGCCCTGGGGAGGTCCACATCCTCCTTGGTGCCTGTTGATACAACTTCTTCTTAGCTCTTGTTATCATGTGGACTTTCAGACTTGTACCACTCCAGGCATTCTGTTTGGTAAAACAGAAATGGGTAAGTTCCACACGGTGGACTCCACTGGTTCGTTGGATGAATAACCATTCCCAGCCCTTTCTTTCCTGCTGTTTTCTTGACTATGGGTTAGAAAACTTAAACATTCTCTTTCTTATCATCTAGGGAATGGTAGAATTTTGACCCTGGAGACAGAAGCAAACGTTTCTAAGAATTTAGAGAAAGTATTTTTTTTCTCCTTTGGTAAATGAGATAGCACAGTGGGTGTGTCTCTTTGCCTTATTCCAACACTAAAACCTCACAGTCAGCAGAGTGTCTGTGGACGTGTTGAGGCTGATAGGGGAGGCCAAAGAAATAACCATGCTATCCTTGACACTGGGGCTGATGAACTGATGCCAGTAACACATTGCACTCCGGATTTCATGAGTGAAGACTGGACACAAGAGTTGGGTTCTCTGTAACTTGCAATTGAAATGAATAACCTCAAAGCAACTCTTACATGAGAACAAACTTTCTCTCTCTAGACTCTAGAGAAATGCATTTAGCAATATCTTAAGTTATAAATCTCACTAGTTTTATGTAGCCTGAAATTATTTTTTAATTACTTTACACAAACCTCTAGTTAAACTTCTTGGTTATGGAAAAATTTAAAATTTCATATTCCCTGACCAGGGCCTGGGTAAACTGAAAAGTGCTTTTCAAGCACAAAAACCTTTGATGCATCATTGTGGCCTCAAATCAGGTAGAACTGGAGAATTTGTACCCTTGAAACAAACAAAAACAAAAATTCTACTATAATTCACTGTGGACAGAAGTGATTCAGCATGACTAAGCGAGCTTATCACCTGGCTGTAGAGAACACAGTGATTTGAATCTGTAAGCCAGGGAAAAGTCATTTAGTAATAAATAAAATTGGGTTGACACCACACAATACACACAAGAATAGACTGATTCCAATGGGAATAGAGAGAAATTAGAAAAAATAATGAACTCAAATAAACACTGAAATAAAATGCAGATAAAAAAGTATTATTGAGTATGGGGAAAGGATCACTGTATCAGTTCTCTATCCTGCCAGCCAGCTCCCAGATAATGACACAGAGACTTCTTGTTAATTATGGAAGCTTGGGCTCTAGCTAGGCTTGTTTCTAACTATCTCCTATAATTTAAATTAACCCATATGATTATTAATCTATAGTCTACCACATGGCTTTCACCGCTATCCCATTCTGTGTGTCTGACTTGTTCTTCTTCTCTGCCTCGCTTCTTCCCAGAGTCCTCTCTGTGCCTGGAAGTCCTGCCTATACCTCCTGCTAGCTATTGGCCATTTAGCTCTTTATTTAACCCATCAGAAGGCACCTTGGCAAAGATACATCTTTAAAGTATACAAAAAGATTATTCTCCCTTGTGTCTAAATAAAAGGAAAGGGTTTAATTCTAACATGGTAAAACTGCGTGTAATAAGAACAATTATCAGGTAAGAATTACATTCATAATGTCCAGTTCATTTGCATTTTGAAAATTCAGAGAAAAACTCTATTATCTATTCTATATTGATGAGTCCCAAGTTTTACACCTAAACCACTTTTTATCATGACTTGTATTACCAACCCAAATTTATCTTTTTAGACCTCAAAACATTTTCTTAGATAAACAACTTAAGCTTTTATGTCTCTCAAACCTTATGCATTTTTTTACCTCCTTTGTGAGTTTCTTTTCTGAATTTGGTGACAAAGAACATTGCAACTCTAACTATCTTGTCTTCGGTTCCATCAGAGACCTGATAAGGTGTAATATTACCTGAGTAAACAAAAAGTACATAGCAAACAACTTCCAAAACTATAGAAATGACAGAGATAGGTGACAACATGGACAGTCACCCAAGTTCCCTTTGCAACAATGTGGATTCATCTTCAGTCTACAGGTAGACTACAGATATACTACAAGTCTAGTATATCTGACAAACTTTTCTGTGAAGAAGGCATTTTGAATTTGTCTTGACAAAGTTTGATAGTTGTCTTCTTTTGTGTCCTGCTTGTCCAGTTTGGACAACATATTGTCAGCAGTAGAAGTAAGGGCTGTTTCTTGCCCAGATGGCTAGCTTTGCCTCATAGTAAGCAAACTCCATAGGGAGGTTCTTTGACACCCATCATCCTTTTTGAAGTAATTGGTGCTACAAGGAATAGACATACCTCACTGTCATGAATTGCCTTATGTTGTTAAAATATTTTAAATGCCATATTCCATAGGTCTTGGAAGTGTTTGAAGACTATTTAAAATATATTTGTTTATTAAACTTGAAAACATATCTAACATGACTACAAGTTTGATTGTAGATGACTAACTACTAACCTGTATTTCTTTATTATCCTAAGTAGCTTTTAAGGACTAAAACTTACATTACATTTTAAAAAGAGCTACATAGGTATAATATCTTAAACAAGAATAGAAGGATATATACAGTATAACCAAAATAACTTTAAATTTGTATCAACATATAAAAATCCATACCAAATATGTAAAATATTTGAGAGTAGTAGCTGTGTTTTTTTTTAAGTTTGAAAATAGATTCAATAATCTTCCCTTTTAATCTATCATTTCTTTTCTTTCTTTTTTTGTGGTTTTTTTTTTTTTTTGAGACAGGGTTTATCTGTGTAACTTTGGAATCTGTCCTGGAACTAGCTTTGTAGACCAGGCTGATCTCAAACTCACAGAGATCCACCTGCCTCAGCCTCCTGATGCCTGGATTGAAGGCGTGTGCTACTACCACCTGGCATCCTATCATTTCTATATCCCCCCTTTTTCTTTTCAGAATGAGGTCATTGAAGCTGATTCCTTTTACTCAGCTTTTTTCCTGACCATGACCAATAACAACTTGTGACAAAACCCCCTAAACAGTGACAAACATCCATAGCACACCAGGGGACCAAAAATCACTCACCCCACTTCGTGAGAATGTGGGTGTCTTGTTCTCTAGATTGCTTAATGTTGTCTTGGAGCAACAGCATCTTTAGGGAACCCTGAGAAAATTAGGATAATGATCAAGTCCTGGGAGAGTCAACTGCTGTCCAATCTCAGTGTGGGAAAGTGCAAGGCTTCTCTGAAGTCCTGGCTGGATAGTCTATGAGGCTGGACCATCTCAGCTAGCAGCTTTGAAGTTGTTTTGGATGCAGAATTTTGAGGAAACTGCAACAGAAGCTTTCTGAAAAGCTGAATCACCTAGACTACTTGTCCTCATTGGTGTTTAGTGCCTTTTTTTCTTTCTGAAAGCACACAAAGTTTTAAAAATAACCTATATATCTGCATTAACACAAGCATAGAATATGCAGTGTACACAAGTCATATAAAGATAATTTTTTGTTTTATGTTTGAGTGGGTAAAGGCATCTGTCAATTTTATAAGTTGATTTGGACTGTATAATCAAACTGTCATGAGGGCTGTGTAGACAACAAGATTTATCATGTCTCATCCAGTCACAGAGCTGTTCCCATGTTGAGGGATCAGCATATACGTCACCTGTCTTTCAGTCTTTCCTGGATTTTCCCCTCATGTCTGTAACCAAGATCCTCAGGAGGTCTCCCCTAGTCAACTCTGATCTCTATTAACTTTGAAGGAATCCATAGCTTTTTGTTTCCTGTGGAAACAAAGGCATATCCCCTTCCCCAACATAACACATATTCTGGTTTCCATTTTAAAGTTAAAACATCCCTAAAGTATATAAGCTGGTTTAATTCAGCAGTCCCTTCCACAATCCAGTATCTTTCAGGAGCTGCTGTTTGCTCCTCAGTATTTAAACAATTCAAAGTCGATAAAGCACCATAGGTGATCAAGACACCCTGTGTATTTCCCATCTTTACATGGCTTATTCTTTTATATTACTTTATTCTCCCTTTAAAGACTTTATGATTTTTAAACTGTTTTTTTTTTTAATGACAGTCTATACCCATTTTTTACTGCATCTGTTTAAAGGTTTTCTCGGTCTGGACCCCTTTATTGCATATCAGTAGCTTTCTTTGCCTGGTGAACCAAGCCTTAACCTTGCTGTGCAACTCTACACATGGTGCTGCTGGCTCAAGCCTACAGGCAGCATGTCTCTGTACACTGTAGCCCATTGACTGAGAGACCACGGGACTACAAAGCTGTGTTTGACTGTATATTTCTGTGTTTGAAACTTTTTAAAAGCTTTCTCAGGTCCTATGTGAAATACCTGTCCCTACGTTAGATGCCATATGTAGTAGTTATTTCTCTGTCCTGATAGCCAGCTCCCAAATAATGGCATGGAAACTTGTTTATTATGAAAAGCTCAGCCTATAGCTTAGACTTATTCCTAATTAGCTTTTTTTTTTTTTTTTTTGGTTTTTCGAGACAGGGTTTCTCTGTAGCTTTAGAGCCTGTCCTGAAACTAGCTCTTGTAGACCAGGCTGGCCTCGAACTCACAGAGATCCACCCGCCTCTGCCTCCCAAGGGTTGGGATTAAAGGCGTGTGCCGCCACCACCACCCGGCCCTAACTAGCTCTTATAACTTAAACGCATATGCTTTTTAAAATTAATCTACATTCTACTACATGATTTTTTTTTACCTCTATCCAATTCTGTGTGCCTGACTTGTTCCATGTCTTGCTGGCTTCTCTGCCTCTCTTCTTCCCAGAGTCCTCTCCTTGCTATACCTTCTGTCTAGTATTGGCCATTTAGCTCTTTATTAAATCAATCAGAAGGCACCTTGGCAAAGACACATCTTCACAGTGTACACAAAGATTATTCTGAAACAGATAACCATAATTCAAATGCCACATACAGCAAGAGAAAACCTGATCTTAAAAAAATACTGTGGCTAGGAGGATGACTTCATTGGTAAAGTGCTTTCTGCCCAACCATGAGGACCTTAACTTAGATCCCCAGCACCCACATAAAAGCTAGGCTTAGCAGCATGTATCTGCAAACTCAATGCTGGGAAGACAAAGACAGAGCGTCCATGGCAAGTCAGCCTAGCAGAATCTGCAAACACTGGATTCAGTGAGAGTCTAAAAACATTATACAGAGTTGTTAAGGAACACACCTGACATCAGCTTCTGGTCTCCACATGTTTACACACACAAGTGCAAGTGGGCTGGGACACACATGTGAACATGTACAGACACACACACACACACACACACACACATCTTAGATACACATTTTTTTTTTTTTGCATAGCCAGAACCACCATGAATAAGCTCAAAAGACAGGCTTGGAATGCAGCTCTGTGGTAGAATTTTTAACATGTATGTGAACCTAGAATTCCACCCCCAACACCACAAAACCATTTCCTCTACCTATATCAAAAATGCAACAAGTGATAAATGTGAAGAAAATATTTTCAAAATATATCACAAATAATAGTCTAATAGTCATGACAACAAGAAAATCTCAAATGTAATACCATAAAGAGAAGAGTGAAATTAATCACTGTGATATTGTTGTTATGTTAGCGACATATGCTAGCATTTCCTGTCCAGCTTTTATTCATTTCAGGAATTAATAGTCGGATTTCAAAAGCGGGAAAGCTGGACTGCGTAGCCATCTACAGATAGCTTCCTTCCAAGACTAAAGGGGTTTGCAGCCCTAAGTGAATAATAACCTCCAGGAAATCTGTACAAATAAAATATGCACACACTATTCTAAGAAATAGGGATTTCTAGGATATTTTTAACTCTGACATTTTCCATCCCAGAAGGTTTTTTTGTTTTGTTTTGAAGCTTGTAGTCTGCTGGCATTCCCTTTCTTTTTCTGTATTTATTTTAGAACATAACTCCCACAAACAATATGGCTCCCCTGTTGGCAAGGATGAGCTGTGGGACACTGGTGTGCAGTCCCCCAGCTGCGTGTATGCAGGGCTACGTGAATTCCTAACTGATCTATGCCCTGGCTCCCTTGCCCTTTCTTTGAAGCATTCCCTGACAGAAGCGCTGTTTGGTTTACTACACTAGACACTTTCCTGCCAAACAATGTTTGGGAGAAGAGTGAGAGTTCAGCTATTTTAAGAACCACCAGCCAATGTACCTATTGATCCCTTTCCATGTATCATCCAAGGTACTTCCCAGCCACCAGTTATGGGAATCGAGAGTGTTCAGAGGCCAAGGGCAACCAGAATGAGAAAAGAAACCTTTCTAGTGTGGTTTGTAAATGAAATCTTCTTCTCTGGCTCCAGGAAGGAATTATAAACATCTCAGCCTGAACAAGACCTGTTTCTATTTATTTGTCCGTTTGTTTGTGTTTGGCTGGGGATCAAACCTAGGTTTTCCACATAGTAACCTGGTGTTCTACCACTGAACCCTAGGGCCAGCTTTAAAAATGGTTTAGTAATCATGCAACCCAGTGGGAATAAAAAGACTATAGAGTTACCCGAACTATCATTCTTATAGTCACAACAACACCCTTTGTCACATGTCCTGGTCATGACTTTAGCTTCAGCTGCACCGGTTGCAAGCTGAAGACTCCCTGGCACCATGCTTTTGAACCTTTTCCGAAGCTTCGATGTCTGAGCCCTGCCACACACATAGCTGGGCAAGTATGATCCAGAAGACTTTCCGCAACCAAAGAGGCTGGAGTTGGCTAATGGTCCCTCTCACTCTCACCCATCTTTTGGAAGTACATTCCAAAAGTGTTCCTCAGAGTCCTGGGGGGTATCAATTTCCCGCGACGGTAACTGGCCGAGTAACCCATGCTCTAGTGGCCTTTCCTTTTCAACTGTGTTGTATTCTTTGCATTCTTATTTTAACTTCCTGAGATTTTCCTTCAGATGAACAGTTATATTCACAATGGCCTGCCCCCTCCCATCAAACATCAATGAAGACAATTTCCCCACAGGGCAATCTGATAGAGGCGGTTCCTCAGGATGTTTCAGTTGACAGCTGAAGCCAATCATGAGAGGCTGGTTACGACACCAACCCAAGACGGTCTTACTCACAGAAGAAGAAAAGAATCAATGAAAGGAAGAGGTTGAAGTTTTAGAGTCAGCAGGCTTCTCTACAAAGAAGACTAAAACAGAGAGGTGAGCTGGTCTGTAGAGAGGGGTGGAGATGTTAAGGAGTTAGGTTTAAAAAGAAGAGAGAAATGAGTACTTCTGTGTTACGAAAGGTCTGTCAGAATCAAGAAGCTCTTATCTCAGTCTACTGTACCTCTGTAACACAACATAATACCCAGTGTTGGGTAATATGCAAAGAGGAAGTTTAATTGGCTCATAATTCTGGCAGCTGGAAAGTTCAAATATGATACAGCTCGGGTTAAATCTCAGCACAGGGGCAAGGTGGAAGAACACCAGCCACATGCAGTGATCTATAGGGCAGCCCCGTGTTCTAACAGCCTACACTTTAAAAAAAGATTTTTTAAAAAATTAGCTTGCATGTATGGATATTTGGCTACATGTATGTTTGTGTGCCACAGAAGCCAAAGAGAGCATCAGATCACCTGGGACTAGAATTAGGAGCTGGCTGAGAACGGCCAGTGCTCTTAACCATGGAGTTGTTCCCAACACTCCAGTCACCTAACAGCCCACTTTTGGAAGAACTCAGCCCTGTGATGAACGTGATTGAGGTGAGGCAAATCTCACCTCAAAACAGAGATAAAGGGCTGTGGAATAGCTTAGTCAGTAAAGGCCAAGCCTGATGGCCTGCATTCAGTCCTGAGACTCCACGAGGTGGAAGAAGCGAACCAACCCCACAGTCGTCCTCTGAGCTCAACACACGCACCGTGGCAATGCACTCCTCTCCCCAACGCACAGTGAATTCATAAGTGCAAATTTTAAAAAGAGGTAAAACCTAGTTGCCTACAGCCTCACTCACTCATCGCCAGAGCATCTGCAGAAACTATCTTTTACTGGTCCAAGCTTTGAAGTTACAGGGGCTTCATGAGAGAATGTTTGAGGGATGCGGCACCCTTGAAGACCGTGTGAGAACAGAGCACCACCCAAGCAGATGAGTTTGTGACTTGCTCCTGTGTTGAAGAGATCAATGCAGCCATGTGTGCTCAGCCACACAAGACTAGTGGGTATTTGGACCAGCTAGAATTGTTTCTAGAGAGATTCTCTTAAGCTAGATGCCCATCTGTACTGGCTGGTTTTATGTTAGCTGAACACAAGCTAGAGTCACCAGAGAGGAAAGAACCTCAGTTAAGGAAATGCCTCCATGAGATTCAGCTGTGAGGCATTTTCTTAATTAGTGCTTAATGTGGGAGGGACACTGTGGGTGGTGCCACCCCTGGGCTGGTGGTCCTGGCTTCTACAAGAACGTGAGCTAAGCAAGTCAGTAAGCAGCTCCCTCCACGGCCTCTGCATCAGCTCCTGTCTCCAGATTCCTGCCCTGATTGAGTTCAGTCTTGACTTTCTTCAGAGATGAAAAGCAATGTGGAAGTGTAAACTGAATAAACCCTTTGGACCCAAGTTGCTTTTTGGTCATGGTGTATTGTTGCAGTAACAGAAACCTTAACCAAGACACCGTCTAACGGGGAAGAAAACTCAGTCGTGGTAGTAAAAGAGATATAGAAGAACATTATTAGAGAAACTACTTTGGAATGTATGGCAAGATTGAAACCATACAAGTCATGAAAGACAGGCAAAAGGAATGGAAAAAGGAAAGAATGCCCTTTTATAAGTTTTAATGATCAAGAACCAATTGATAAAATTGTTTAGCAATATCACATTACTCACGGGCATAACCGCAGGGTGAGAGGTGCCTTTCTGAACAAGAAGAGCAGCATACTGGATCATAAGTAGGTCATGGAGGTAGATTTGGCAATGTAATGGGTGGTGGAGTTCATTTAGGCTGGGGTGGGAATGCTGGCCAAAGAGCAGACTCTGCCAGTGAAGATGTTGGCAACAGAAGCGGCTATGGGGGGGGGGGGAGATGACACACTATTTGGGAGGTGATAAAGGAAACGATGGTGGCAGTCCTTGTTACAGGGGTAGAGGAAGTTGTCTATGTTGTAGTGGTCCAGGATATGGAAGCTAAGGCATGGGAGAAGAGGAGGAAGTCTTGGTGGTGGTGGCTACACTGCTTTCAGGGATGATAGTGGACAGTAGAAATCAGATAATGGGCTCAGCAAGGGAGCAGTGGCATAGAGAACACTTAAGCAGTCCCTTAGGTAGTGGCTATGGACCTGGTCGCACTTGTGGTGGGTACTGCAGCAAAGGGTTTTTAAACTATCGAAAAAGGTCTGTGCGGTGTGCAGCAGGGGAGAAGGGATTACCAGGAGAAGTCCAGGTCACTCAGAGGCAGTCCTCCCAAAGGTAAGTTTGCTGCAGAAGAAGCCATGAGTCATAGAAAAGTTACTGTCACTTAAAACGGGAAACTCTCCTTGCTCTGGACTGTCCCATCCACAGTCTGCAAAAGGTTCAGTTATGGGCTTGAGAGACGCCCAGAGGTTAAGAGCACTGGCTGTTCTTCCAGAGGGCTTGAGTTCAATTCCCACAACCAAATGGTGGCTCACAACCATCTGTCATGAGATCTGCTGCCCTCTTCTGGTGTGCATGCATGCAGACAGAACACTGTGTACATAATAAACAAACAAATCTTTAAGAATGTTTTACAAGTTCAGCTACTGTCTAATGCAACTGTAGTATAAAGTAGAAGTCCATTCCTTTTGTCTAGTGAAGCTCTTTTCATTTTATTGGGTATAGTAGCCTATAAAGTATGGTAATGCTACCACAAAATTTTAAAAAATGATTCTTTTTCACTTTGAAAAGGGGAAAAAAGAACTCGGTCTTGTAAAAATTGATGGGTGCTGTCCAGAGGCAATGATATTATGACATCGGATCACCTCCCACCGTGCTCTGATAAGTAACTCATTTATTTTCCACAAGAAGGGTAAAGCTAGCTTTCGGGGTGCTATGAAGCCACTGGGGTTATTTTTTCAAAAACCAGCTCACAACACCCTCCCACTGAAGGAGCAAAAGTGACCCAAACTGAAAAGGGCATTGCGTGGTGGGGGGTGGGATAGGCGGGGAGGTGGATAAGATGTCTAGGGATGAGAACACTCAGCAGTGCCCACGAGGCCTCAAAGGCACGGGCTCTGGAGCATCAGAACCTGCAGCTTCAGTTCAGTCAGCTTGGAGAGACTGGTGCCTCAAGAACTGGTTTCCCTGAGAGGACAACCTCACAGATGGAAGGACGTTCAGACTGTAGACCGCTCATGGGTCGGGATCACATTAGCACCGAGAACCTGGTATTCGAACAAGGAAGGGATCTATATCATACAGAAATTAAAACCTACACCTTGGTTGAAAAGTTGCTGTCACTCATTCACCTGCTAGCACAGGGGCCAGAGAGAAAACAAAGGATGGGGACAGCAATGCCTTTCATTCAATTCTTAACGATGGGCGCCTTTTATTAGTTTCTTGGATGGCTTCCTCATGTTGGACCAAGTGTAACGTTTTACATTTTTAGTATACTTAGCTTAAAGTCAATTCTAGGCATTAAAGAGATTTCAGGCTAGAGCATATAAAGTTCTTTGATATTAGATTAGGTCTTTTTTTCTTTTCTTAACGTGTCTCAAATCTTTACAGTAAAATTGTTTCATGCTTCTCACTGTGGTGACTCTATTGGAGTCACCGTGTATCTCCCCACTGTGAGGATATCATGGGAGATATAGAAATGGACTGTCCGAATATCATCCCTCCCTTCCCACAGCTTCCTTGTTGTTAACTGTAGTTCAGACATTGAGGTACAAACTGAAAGGGAGCTGACTCGGGGGAGGGCCCAGAGTGCTCCGTTTGCTTCTATTTTCCTTCCTGCAAGAAGGCTGAAAAGCACATGTAAAGAAGGCTGGAGCTTTAGCTGCCACCCAGTAGCTCGAGGTGACCTCTGGTGGTGACAGATACTGTTTGTGACTCCAGGATCACCTGCCCAGAGCTGGTCTCTTGTCTTTTCTCACCAGATCCAGCTTTACTATTAAAGTCCAGCGGCCCTCAAGGCGCCTTCCGGCCCTGCTCGCATGGAGAGTCCACACTCATGCTGAATGCCGAAGATGGGGCTGGGAAGGAGCACCCAGAGCTTCCCAGCTGAGATTAGCTTATCTCTTACCCAAAAAGCAGTCCGTGCTCACCTTGCTTATGCTACTTTTATTTGGGTTTCTCTGTTTCTGTTAGCCGAATTCCTTACAATTTGAAATTGATGCCCATAGGGCCTTGTACACTTTGTAGTTACCTGTAGCTACAGCAATTCTGTACTAAAACATTTTTTCACCGATGTATTGCCCTAAGCGATTGCTCTTCAACTTCTCTCTCGGTGCAGTTGCTCAGGAAAACCCGAGGCAGGTCCCCTTGGACCGTTATGAATCTGTCTTCTTTCACTTTTGCTTGGCAAGATCATACCTAGCTCTTTGCAAGCGCTTGCTGGAGTCTGCGAGCCCCTACTTCTTCCCGGTCTCCTAACTGATTATTCTATCAGGAGCTTCTATGAAGCTGGGAACCTGGCTGAGCCAGAGGGAGAGAGGCTGGGTTAGAAAGGATGAAGGTTAAAAGAAAGAGACTTAGCTCTTTGCAAAACAGACAGCTAGAGCTTTCAAATGCCTCATTCATTCCACTCATACAGTGGGACCAGAACATAGCTGCTACCTAGGGAGAAGTAGTGATCATATTCGGGTCGAAATTAGTTTCCCCTTGTTTTGTCTTTGATTTTTATTTCATTAATTCCTCTGTGAATTATTCACCTTGTCTAAAATTCATTAAGATCCCAGCTCTGAGGCTGCTGAGGCAGGAGGATCTTGAGTTTGAGACCAGCTGGGTTCCTTTTCAAAAAACAATACAGAACAAAATAAGCGCAGGAACAGATGTCGTATCCAACCGTACACATGCCATTTGTAGGTTGTATAAGTAATGTCTATGGGAAAATTAATCCCGCAGGCTACATGCATCCCCAAAACAGCTGTGAATGCCACCCAATATAAAACTGCAAACTTGGTTCATGTTACAGGATTTTTTTGTTTCTATATTTTATTGCACAATTCTTTGTAGATAACAACTTCATGTCACAATGTCAAAATGTTGAACTCACCTACTTTCAAGTAAAAAAAAAAAATTCAAGACAGTTTGTATCTGCTCCCTGACATTCTACAAAGACTAAAGGAAGGTGGGGGAGGAAGCAAACCGTAGCAGTGACCAGTGAAACTAGGCAAGGCAGCGGAGGTCTTGTGAGCACTCTCCTGTACGAGTTCCTGTCCCTCTCCCCCTTTTCTTTTCTGAGGCAGAGTCTCATGCAGCCCATGCTGCTCTCAAACTAGCTGTGGATAACGTTGAACTTCTGACCTTCCTGCCTCTCCACCCCAGAGTGCTGGGATTACAGGCACGCACTACCACACCCCAACTATTTTTTTTTTCTTTTAGTTCAAAGAAAGGTGTCATCAATTGATTTCAGTTGGGGAAATTTTAAAAGCCAAGAGGCCGCATGTTTAATGTTGTTCTGAGGAGCAATAGAGGATTTTAGCTCACACACAGAATGAAATGACACAGAGGACACGAGAGTGTCTGCCAACCTTCGTGTGACGTCCTCGCCTCTCATTTCTTTCTTTATTAAGTTACACTTGCTTACTTTTTACTTGTTTCTTTGTGTGTGTTCACACCACAGCACTTGTGAGAGTCAGCTCTCTCCTTCCACCACGTGGATCCCGAGGCTTGAACCCAGGTGTTCTGACCTGGCAACAGCCATCTTTACACGTTGAGCTATCTCTTAGACCTGTTTACCATTTAAATCTCTTGTCTTCCATAGCCCCCCGCCCCCGCCCCAGTGCTGAGGGCTGAACCCTGGTTCTGGGCCACAAATGTAATAAAAAAGCGTTTCACCACTAAACCACATACTCCAAACCACTCTTCATATAAATACTTTAAGATTTCTGCCTAATCAGGTTTTCTTTTCCCATATTTGTGCCATTACACTCTTATGCTCATAATTTTGCTTTTAGTACTTGGAATTATTTTGAATCCACTTCCTACCCACTTTCCAAAACATAACCCAAATGATTTTCCAGGAACCCCATGCATACCTTATATAGAACACTTACCGCAGTACCAGGAGAGGATGCACAGTTTGAAGTTTCCTTTTTAAACTCTATAGTTTGAAGATCTAATCTCATAAGTCCTTGGTAAATATTTTTTTGATCTTCAGCAGGAGCTATCTATTATAATATCTGATCAAAATGAAATGTAACCAGTTACATATTACTATATATATATTACTATATACTATAGATATTATTAATATATATATCCTACAATGTCTTGTTTGAAAAAATTACAAAGTCATTTAAAATAAATAGTATCATGCAGGACAAAGAGTGAGAGAAACCTGCCCAAGGCTGGACGACATAGACTGGAATGCAGCTGGGCCCTGGGACAGGAAATAAATAGAACTCTCCAGGATTCCATGAAACCTCGCTTGCTGTGGAGCGTCAGAAGCTTGAACAAGCACAATACAATACAAGATGTACTAGCACAAAGTAGTACACCTTATGTAACCTCGCAGAGTACAGTGGGTCACAGCGTGTGTTTGGGAGCCAGCTTCCAGAGGTCACATTCAGTTTTGCTGTTTCTGCTGTGAGAACTCAGGCGGGTTGCTTAGGTTTCCTCTTCCTAACGGTTTGCCACTGGGGGGTGGGGGGGTGTACAGCGGAGGCACTGACAACAAGCAGCAGCAGAGGCGGTGGCAGTGGGAGCGGGGAGAATGGGCATGAAAGAATGAGAATAGAGCACGTGGTGCCTGCCTGTCAGTTTCTCCTTCTCTAGAGACCAAGTCCAAAGCCATTCTTAGCTACATAGACAGTTTGAGGTTGGTCTGAGCTTCAGAGACCCTGTCTCAAAAACAAAGAAAGAAGTAGAGAAAAATATAATATTTGTTGTTATAAACAAATAATAATTGTTGTTGCTATTGTTATACTTCATCATCTTTAGACATAACCCATGCCAAAAATTCAATTTGTAAAGCACTAATTATCAGTTAGACAAACTAATAGTTCATTTGGAAAACATTCTGAAAATGATACTGAGTAAGGTTGTTTTAAGAATGTAAAATGAGACAAATTTTTATTTTTTTCTGTGTTGGGGTTAAACCCAGGGATCAAACATACTGGACAAACCTCTACCTCTGAACTATATCTACGCATAGCTCCTCCTTATTTGGTTTGGAGTTCACATGTCCATTGGCATTCTCAAACAGAATTTGGGAACAAAGTTTTCAAAGCTCATTTTGTCTTTTGCTGCAACAGCTTTGTAATCCTTTCAGGGAATCTTAAACAAACATATGGTTTTCCTATGTAGCCCAGGATGGCCTCAATCCCATGGACGCCCTTTCCTTGATTTCTCAGGGCTAGGATTACAGGCATGCATCACCACATTTGACTTTAAATTTATATTACTAGTGATTTGTATTTAGACCTTCAGACTTTTAAAAACATAAAGAATATGACAGGATTTTTAGGTTCTTGAACTTACCTATGCCTTGCCTTTCCCCCTTTTTCTTGACTTTCCTGCCTTCTTTTCCTTTTCTTTTCTTCTCCCCGAGTCCCGTTTAAGAAATTTGTGTGTGTGTGTGTGTGTGTCTGTGTCTGTGTGTGTGTGTGTGTTTTGACACAGGGTTTCTCTATAGCTTTGGGGCCTGTCCTGGAACTAGCTCTTGTAGACCAGGCTGGCCTCGAACTCACAGAGATCGGCCTGCCTCTCAAGTGCTGCGATTAAAGGTGTTGCCATCTTTGGCCAGCTCGCTGCATGAGTCGTCTTTATTGCTATGCTTGCAGCTCTAATTACCATTGCTGTACGTAATGCATTTTTCAGAGTGTCTGGTAAAGATACAAACAAAGGTTCTGCACTGGGGCAGAGGAAGGCAGCCAAAGCAGCTCGAGCTTTAATGTGGAACAAAATCTTAGTTTTCCAACTGTTTCAAGTTGCTTAACCTTTTCTTTGTGTGAAACGGGAGCAATCCCCTATTTTATAATAATTATGAAACTCTAATGAGATACTTTTTTAGTTTATTAAAAATACTACTGAGTTTATAGTATATACTGTGTTTTAAAATATAGGGTCTTTGGAGAATGGATAAGGAAAATGTGGTACATTCCCACAATGGAGTACTACACAGACAGCTTGAATTTTGCAGGAAAATGGATGGAGCTAGAAAACATTATTTTGAGTGAGGTAACCCAGACACAAAAAGACAATTACCACATGGACTCACTCATACGTGTTTTTTAAACATAATGCAAAAAAAGCCAGCCTACAAACCACAATCCCAGAGAACTTAGAACAATGCGAACACTAAGAGAGACTTACATAGATCTAATCTACATGGAAAGTAGAAAGTATAAAAAGACAAGATCTCCTGAGTAAATTGGGAGCATGGGGATCTTGGGGGAGGGTTGAAGGGGGGAGGGGAGGGAGGAGGGGAGGGGGGAGGGGAGAGGCAGGGAGGGGAGCAGAGAAAAACGTAGAGCTCAATGAATATCAATAAAATGTATAAAAATTTAAAAAATAGAATATAGGGTCTTAAAATGTGAGTTAAAAGGGCTGAGAGATGGTTCATCAGTTAAGAACACTGTCTTGTTCATTCAGAGAATCTACATTACGTTTCCAGCACCTACGTTGTTACAGGGGGCTGCTTGTTCCTCCCAGCCCAGAACTGAAATAATCACACAGAAACTATAATATTTAAAACACTGCTTGGTCGATTATCCCTAACTTCTTATTGGCTAACATTTAAATCTTAATTTAACCCATTACTAGTAATCTTTGTATTGCCATGTGGCTGTGGCTTACTGGGTTAAGTTCTGGCTGGCTCCAGCAGGGCTACATGGCGTCTCTCTGACTCTGCCTTGTTGCGGGAGGTCCTTCCGCTCCTCCAACCAATAGCTGCTGAGATACCAGCCCACTGGGGCGTGGTCTCTCTCCCTTTAAAAAAGCGGCTACTTCCTCTGCTCTCTCTCTTCACTTCCTGCTCCGCTGGCTACTAGATTCCCTGGTTGCGCAGAGGGCTGTTGTCTGGGATGGTGATCTGTAAGTTTTTTCCTCCTTAAATAAATACCACCCTAGGGGGCTGGAGAGATGGCTCAGTGGTTAAGAGCATTGCCTACTCTTCCAAAGGTCCTGAGTTCAATTCCCAGCAACCACATGGTGGCTCACAACCATCTGTAATGAAATCTGGTGCCCTCTTCTGGCCTGCAAACATACACACAGACAGAATACTGTATACATAATAAATAAATAAATATTTCTAAAAAA